ACTGGTATGGTGGTTATAGGTCTCAGTGGTTATATAATTGGCAACCACTGAGTGGGGTTGCCAATAAGGTACAAATTAAGACTGCCCTGGTCTCAGTTTGTACCTTTTATAGAAGCTGCCAATTACAAACCCACTTGGGCAGAACAAGAATGTCCAGTACTCTGTTTTCGGATGATTTGGTTTCCGGTTGTTAGGTTTCCAGTTGGCCCACTAGGCCAACAGCTCTTCTTTCATAATATGAAACACACTACTTCTGTCTAGCTCCTGGGAAGCTATTTATTGCTAGGTAAATGGAGGCATAAGGTGAAGGAAATGAACTCTCATGTCTCAGCCTGCTAAGATATAATTTGGTTGTGAAATGATTACCTGTCATCTTAATGTCTTTTAGCTTCATACTCTTATGATGGGGTCATTTGGCTCCATCAGTTTATCCCTCAAAGTGAGATTGAGGAATATGTTCATTAATGCTTTCCATAAAGGGCTGGTAATAGAAGGATTACATTATACAACCTTTAATAATATTCTAGTATATCATAAGTAGCACCACAGCCAAGAGATCTAAAGTTAGCTGTCACTAACACTAATGATTTAATGCATAAGATAAATATATAATAATTGGCAAAATATTAAGACAACAGTTAACAATTAGAATTGCATCTTGTTACATGAAATTGTCTCCTTTCACTATACTAAGAAAGTACCTTGAAACATTAATGTTTATCTGTGGCTCGAAATGCTGTAGGAGCTCCAGAAAGTCCATTGTATCAGTGTGAAATTTGACATAAGGCACATTTAATTTAGTATAACCAGTATTAATATAAACATTGTATTCCAAATATAACAATCAAGTCATGTAGGCCTACATTCACAGCTCATGAACTTTTTACATATATTCTCATTAAACACAAAATAAAATCTAACCTATTGTTTTGGTGCATTTTATATAATAATAATACAGTAATAAGCTTAGCGAGATATGCATCTGAAGTACTAGGATCATTTATATTGTATACTGTGAAGAAGCTTACTACAACGCTGTCGTGTTTGATTGAAGGTGAAGAAAAGGTTCAATAATTGTGTGTTATTAAAGCAAATTTTTGGATGAAACCTACATCCTATATCAAGGTGATGTATTTCTCAAGAACATGTTTACAGCACCTTGATAAAGAATGTATTTTATCCAAAAAAATGGTTTTATAATACACTTACACATGTATTGGGTCTTTCCTTCACGTTCATACCACAGTATATTGTGCTAGATTGGGTACCCAGCAGTGTCAGGGTTGACTTGATAGCCCCAGAGATTGTTCCACTGAAATGTTGGAGGTGCTCCCAAAATGCAAATCTGCCATCAGAACTATTAGAACCATCAGAATGAATTTTTCATGCCAATATCTTAATGATAAAACTAAGGAGATGACATTGAACATTTCATCTCAGACTTTACAGAAAAGTGGCAAGGAGTCGACTCCCCTTAAAATGGGGGCAAACCTGCCTATGACAGTCACTCCTTCACTCACTAGTCACCCTGCAAAATTTAATGAGGCTAGCCTCAAATCTCTGGCCTCATTTATATATATATATATATATATATAATATGCGGAAAATCCACAGAGAAATGGGAAAGAGAGATGAACGTTGAGATAATATATAATATATTATATACATCTTAAAAGTTTATTAACTTCATTACACCTTTTGACATTGTAAGGCACTTTGAAAGACATTTTAACAGGCAAGAAAGCAGCAGGTGTTCAGCTAGTATAAACTACAAAGAAATGACTTGCTTCAAACACCTGTACTAATTAAGAATGAGATTCGTTTTGATACAAAGAAATGATCAGCCTCGAATACCTGCATAAACTACACTATGAGGCCAATTTTTACACCATGAAGCATTTGCATTAACCATGTGGAAGTTCATTATTATAAAGCCCTCAGACCACACGCATGTGGTACAAAAAGTACAAAAATACATGAAAGTTCTCATAAAAGCTTTTATTATAAAAATGTAAAACTGGCAGCTACATAATTTGCTGAATGTTGCTATAGAAATATTTGTATATTTATTGTATTAACAATTTAAGTGTGTTTCAAGTAAAATTTGTGTTTTGACTGTATTTGGTATTTATTTATAATATAAAATGGTTTCTGTACATTTGTGCACTGTATATTGGTGTTCATAGTATTGTTCACTCAATAATCCATACTATAGGGGGCCTACTCCTGTTCACGAGTAGTTCAGTCAACCAATTTTTTACCGGGAAAGCCCAAAATGAACAAGTTCAAATTTATTCAGATTTTTGTTCACCAGAAATTTCTGTAACCCAAATTTTTACCCAAATTCAAATTTATTCAGATTACCCAAAGATTCGGGTTATTGGAATTTGGATTACTGTACTGAGCTCTTACATTATATGTATACTGTATTTGTTTCTTGGCCTATATTCATTGATTCTTAGGTGTTTGCCTAGTAAGTCAGGCACTGAACATAGGGAAATGCTCTTCCGTAGTGGACCCATAGTAACTCCTGAGCTGGATAGTCTGGTACCATCAAGTCTTAATCTAACACACCATGCCACTGAGATTCATCCATTGCCTACTAGAAGCCAGCCCCCAGAAATCTTAGGCACAACAAAACAATGGAAAATTTAAGAAAATTAGGCACTCCATTGTAAATAAAGCAAATGATCATTGTCAGGACAGTAAATACATACCCTAACTGTGAGGTGCCTGATCTCCATCATGTGGAACTGCTCGTACACAACCAACAACACAAACAAGGAGCAACAGTTTCAAGCTCAACAAGCCACAATGTGGGACAGAAAATGGAAGATGCTTTTTTCACCCTTTGTATTATAAACCCATGGAATTGTCTACCTGCCAAAGCAGTAAATGCCAAAACACTGCTGCCAAATGCTAAAACACTATCTGGATCAACATCTTCTAACTTGTTCAATATTTTAAAAGTTTCGATGAGATCTGCACTGTCATGCCTGGTTTGCAGTGTTGTAAGTCCTGTGGCCTTCAAGCGTTCTTGATATGAGAGATGATGTAGCTCTGGAATGACTTTTGTTTCTCTGTGTTGCACCTTCTCCAGAGCAGCTATGTCCTTCTAAAAATGAGGTCTCCTTGCTTGGATACAGTAATCTAAGTGAGGACACACCAGAGAAGTATACAATTGAACCAGTACCTACTTTTCCGTACAGTCAAAAGTATGCTTGATTATCCCAAGCCAATTATCCCAAGTTGGTTAGCTTTTCTGACTGCTGCACCCACCTGTTGTGCAACTTTTAATGAGTGGTGGCTCTTGACTTCAAGGTTCTTATCTTCATAAATCTGTTGTAATGTAATGCTATTAATTTGGTAGTTGTGGCATGGGTTTTTATGCCCCACATGCAAGGTCTTGCATTTGTCCATATTAAAAAGCATTTGCCAATCTTCTGACCATTTGTGGAGTTCATGCAGATCTCTTTATAAGGCTTCAATGTCGTTATTATTTCCAATTTTACCATAAATCTTTGTGTCGTTTGCAAATTTGATGTGGTTTGCAATATTCTCATCTGTTATCGATGTATGACAAAAAGTGTAGGTCCCAAAATGAACCCCTGTGGCACCCCACTTACCATATTTCTCCATTGATTCGTTTCCATTGGCATGATCTTTGTTTTCTTTCCTTTAACCATTGTTTTATCCATTCTAATATTTTACCATTTATTCCATGGGCCTGTAATTTCCTTGCCAGTCTTTCATGTGGTACCTTATCAAAAGCTTTTGCAAAATCTGTGTATACCACATCCACTGGAAAGCAGGATCTGTTTTTAACAAATCCATGTGTCGATTGTACAAGATTGTTCACTGAAAGATGGTGAATGATTCCCTCCCTGAGGATTTTCTCCATGAGCTCGCAGATGTATGATATCAAGGATGAGAGCTAAACTGGTGGTGTCCTGTCTTCCTAGTACTCTGTTGTATAATGCTTTGAAACTTTGAAAAGACGGTTTAGACCCACCACCTTCTCACTTAACTTGTTCCAACTGTGACTACCACTCTGCGAAAGAAAACATTCTAATATGTTTTCAGGACATTTGTTTCTTTAGCTTGAATCTGTTTCCTCTTGTTCTTGAAGTTGCAGGTTTCAGGAATTCCTCTTTGTCAATTAGGTTGATTCCTGTTAGTTTTTTTTGTGATCATAATATCACCTCTCTTTCTTCTATCTTCCAGTTTTGGCATGTTTAACGCCTCTAGTTTCTCCTCGTAACTCTTGTTTTTCAGTTCCGGAAGTCATTTTGTCACATACCGTTGCACCTTTTCCAGTTTATTTATGAGCTTCTTGAGATTTAGGCACCATACAACTGCTGCATATTCCAATTTTGGTCTCACAAAAATCATGATCAGTTTCTTTAATATTTCACCATCCATGTAATTAAAAGACGTAAAGGCTCTCGGACATATTTCGCAGTGGTCGAAAATAGCCTCCATCTGCATGAACCAAAATTCTGGTTCATCTGCTTTGTATCCATGTAATTAAAAGCAAGTCTGAAGTTGGAAAGCGATGCATATGCTCCTCTCACAATGTTCTTTGTGTTCCGCTGGTGACAGTTTACTATCCAAAACCACCCTTAGGTCTTGTTCTTGTGTATATTTCTTTAATTACTTTCAGCATAATTTGTAAGTTGTGTGATCTATTTTCTCCAATTCCACATTCCATAACATGGCATTTATTCACAAAAATTCCATTTGCCACTTCATGCTCCAAGCACCAATTTTATCTAGGTCAATTTGAAGGGTGTGATGATCATCTGCATCTCCTATCTTCTCCAGTATCTTAGCATCATCCACAAACATGTTCATATAATTCTGTGTTTCTTCTGCTAGATCTTTTATGTAGATCATGAACATTACTGGTGTAACAACTGAACCCTGTGGTACTCCGCTAGTAACACTCCTCCAGTCAGATACATTGTCTCTGATTACTGCCCTCATCTGTCTGTCTGTCAGGAAGTTTATCATCCATGTCAGAAGTCTTCCTGTCGCCCCTCCAGCATATTCCAGTTTCCAGAACAGCCTCTTGTGTGGGACTCGGTCAAAAGCCTTTTTTTTAGGTCCAGATGGACACAGTAAACCTGACTATCTCACTCTTGGTGAATCTCTGTGGCTTTGTCATAAAAACTAAGTATATTTGTTACATAGGATCTTCCTGTTCGAAAACCATATTGTCTGTCTAATTATGTCATTACTCTCTAGTTGATCAACCCATTTGGTCTTAACTATTTTTTCTAGTAATTACCTAAGTGGTAATTACTAGAAAAAATTACTAGCATTTTGACTACCACATTTGTTAATGATACAGGTCATTATAATGATATGGGTGGGTGTGTGTGTGTTTAGCCACCATGAATAATTTATATATCAATTCTCTTACTTTAAAAATCAAATGGATACCTTTTGAGTATGCAAATTATTCAATAATCAAATGAAATCATCAGGATTAGTCTCCCCATCAACAAAAATTATCTTAACTTGACTAAATAACAAAGTAAATTAAATTTAAACCGAGTGTAATTAGTACTGTACCTATGCAGGGATCTACACGGACAGAATGTATAGTATAATAATATAAAGTTCTCCATGTATATATCACAAATTTAATAGATATTAATAAATCTTCAACTATCTTACTCTACATTAAAGAATATAAAAATGTATACTGTATTTTAATTAATCTTTCTATTATTTTCAAGTAAATAAAAAATTCCTCCATAAATGTTTCCATAAAATTCATAAAATGTTTCCATAAAATTTCTCTATCTGTACATAAAAAAGTAAATATATTGAAGGCACATTTAAAAATATTAAAATGTGACAGTAACATCATTATTTTGAAGCCTTCGTCTAATCTACACCGATGAGATAGTCGATGGTGGCACCCTGTAAACAGAAAACAGGGATTACATTTTGCACCTTTTGCACATTATGCCAAAAATCAATACAAATTTTATTCAATATAACCTGAAAAAAATATATAATGTATATATTTCCTGTTGGGAGCCCCTGTGGCTCCGTGGAGCTATCGGACGATAACTCCACAGAGTCACTGATACAGGCTTTATTAGTCTGGGGCTTCAGTCAATGGAGTTCTGCCTACCGTGGACCACTAGCTAGAACATGGCCCTCCCTCAGAGGCACAGGGAGCATTGGCCTAAGGAAACCCCCCTTGTATTTGGGGGTTTTTCCATGTCTGCTATCGACTAGGGTTAGGCACCCAGAAAGGTAGGCATCTCAAAACAAACCCCCCACTTTGTAGGAAATTGAAAAAAAACAAGAAAAAACACAAAGATTGAACAGAGAAACAGAACTCCCCCAAAAAAGTCATTCACAGTCGCCGTGCCGTTTCTCCGTGCCAGCTGCCCACACCTCAGTTCGTAGGCTGAAATGCTCTGGGGCGTTTGTCAACTCTGGCTTCAGTTTCCTGCTGGATTTTTTGCCCTTGTAGTGTTTCTTGCTGTTTGTTGTGTGATGGCCAGGAGTAACATAGTGTACTGGGGCTGTATGAGCTTAGGGCTGCCTTCCCTGTAAGTACTACTCCTTGGGTTCTCGGGTTCTCTTCCTTTGGGTGTTTGAGACTTCTCTTTCGTAGGGACTTCCTGCTGCTTGGCATTTACCCTGCCCTTGGGGCCAGCTGGGGTTTCATGGCCTTTGTTTGGCCCTGGGTAGGAAGAGGTAGTGTTGTTGCTGGTGGGGGGCACAAGGGGCTGTGCAGCACACCAACCTAGCGGCGGCTGTGTTTTCTGTCCTTTCTGTTGTTGTTGTGCTTTTGTGGGGGTTTTCTTTTTTGTTCCTTGCATGAAGGAGGTCTATCTGGGTTGCCTATTAGTCCACATACATTATTTTCAGTGGCCCCTCCTCTAGGTCCCCATGCTTTTATACTTCACAAGCATCCAGTTACAGTATAGCCCTTTTCCCTCTTGTTGATATTATCATTTGGGCTGAACCGGCTTTGCAGCACCATTGCCTGGGCTTCTCGTAGGCTGTTCACCTGCGGGCCCTGGAAAACCCCGACGAGTCTTGGCTGACCGATGGATGTGTCATCCGAGTCCCATCTCGCCCTGTGCGAGTTTGAAGGTTGTTCATTGCCCTTGTCTCAGGGAGACGATCACCTGTTTTGCGAGAAGTGTTCCCAGTTCGTACTCCAATTTACCTATTCTTCTTCGGAAGTTCTTAGGGGTCAGGTGGCGTGCGCGTTGCATCATAGACTTTGGTTGTTGCAATGTGCTAAGTTGGTTACCCGCTCGGATGCCCTGGGGCTGCCCTACTTTGGTTTTAGGGACCCAGACCTGGGGGTGTTGGTCTTTTTGAACTTGGTTCCATCTGCACCTTCAGGTCCTTCCCTGGTGAGCGTGGTTCACCCTGCTCCTCCCCTTCTGCTGTCGGCTCCCAAACGTCTGAGGGTTTCGGAGTTGGGGCCAGGTTTAGTTGGTGATGAAACTCCTTTGCTGCCTATTCCCTGGACTCTACCTTTTCTTCAGGAATGGAGGGTATGGAGGATGGCTCGGCCCCAGGGACTGCCTTGGCGGCTCCTGGGGCTGGGGAGGAGTCACCCTGGGGGGCTTGGACCCCTTTGATCCTGCTTGGGTGTTAGTGCCCTCGTTGCGAGGTTTATGTTGCGGGGAGAGGGGTTTTCTTAAACCCCCCTTCTATGTAAGAGTTAAATTTGGGGTAGGCTTCTTCCCAGGTTCAATTCTGCGTTCCCATGGGTTCCTCGGTGCCCTATTTCCGGAGGTTTTCTGCCTCTTGCATCCCGTCCAAGGAGATTCAAGGCTCTTGCAGCTTGCCTCCTGAGAGACCTGGATTGTGCCTCTGTGATGGCTCCATCCTCATTTGAGTACAGTTCTTCTTCCCCGTATTGGGTTCGTTATAAGGTTCCGGAATCTTCCCTGTTGACAGACTGCCCTTTCTTTTTTCAGGAAGCATTGCATGGGTTTGAATGAATGGCGGGTGGCTTGAATGGCGGGAGGCTGCTAATGTTCTGCAGGTTTACCTAGGTGGCGATTTTGAGCGCCCTCCAGAGTGCTACCAAAGAGTCCCTTTTCAGGGACTGAAAAGGCACTCAATGAGTGCTTTTTTGCCCCTGTGCTTCCTCGGAATGTTGGCCTTCAGCAGCTGCACATGCAGGTTCCCTCCCTTCTGGCTTCTTTGACTGTTGAGGATTTTTGCGCCTGCGGGCATTTCGCCCTGGTCTTGGGCTTCTTTTCTCTTCTCAAGTTGTCCTTGGACTGGCTTAGGGCGGACGTGGAGGCATTGAGTACCGGGCCTTCATCTGGGGCGTTGGCCTCAGTGGCCAGGGTGTCGGCTGCGTTGTTGAAGCTGTTTGCGCCAATACTCCGGGAGGCGATGTATCTGTTTTTTGCCTTTCGTCTCGTGTCATCAGGCCATCCTTGCTCTCTCCTTGTTGCCTAGTTGCCGTCCTCTTTCTAGTTGCGTCCTATTTCAGATTTGTTATTTCTCCGGGGTGGCCATTCTCGGTGCTTTCGGAGGGGTCGTGCCAGGGCTTGGGGTTCTTCTGGTCGAAATGGGCCCTTTGTGCCAGCTTCTGAGCCGGCATCATCTGGTCAGCGCAATGCTCACTTTGCTCATTTTTCGGCTGGCTTCTTGTAGGAGGCATCAGCCCTTTTGCAGGCCACTGGAGGAGAGGGGGGGGGGGGGAAGCTGGCGCTGTTTGCCCACGCTTGGTCCCATGATTCATGGGCATTTTGGGTCGTGTCTTCTAGTCGTTCCTTCTGTGATGGCGTTGGGCGGTGGCTCCTCCTTCGGGAAGTTTGGGGCTGGCGAGGCAGGCTTCTTCCCATTTGCTCCATCGGGTCATTGTGGAGTGGGTGCGCTTTGGGATGGTTGAAATGACCTCGCCCCTCAGGTGGGCTTCCCGCCTATTTCCAGTCCCGAAACGGGACCGTGCGAATCTTTGGTTCATTCTGAACTTGTCCTGTCTGAACTGCTGGATTCTTTGCCCCTCCATTCGGATGACCACTCTGTCCCAGGTCCGGTTTCTTATGGAACCAGGGTGTTGGATGGTGTATCTGGACCTCCAGGATGCGTATTGGTACATCCCAATTCATCTGGGGTTCAGGGACTGGTTCGCTTCGTCGTGGGGCAGCGTGTTTTCCGCTTTTGTTGCTTCCTTTTGGCTTGAATCTGGCACATTGCATTTTCACGCATCTTACCCGGGTTGTGGTGACCCGTCTGTGTCAGCTAGGGGTTCGAGTGTTGGCCTACCTCGATGACTTGTTGGTGTGGGCTCCCAGACGGCCTGCATGTCTGCTCGTAAGGGGTGTGGTTCTTTCTCAGCTCACTTGGTTCAGGTTCTTGTGAACTGGAGGAAGGTCCCATCTGGTTCGGACCTGGCTGGGCATCGTTTGGGACTCTCGGAGAGCTTCCATGTCTCTCCCTCCTGTGACATAGTTGCAGCTGCAGTCACACCTTCAGCTGTTCCTGGGGGAAGATCCTGGGTCACTCGGCTGTTGCTTGAGCAGTTGTGTGGTGAACTTTGCCGTACTAGTTTACCCACGGGGTCAGGTCTGGCTTCGGTGCCTTCTAGTTCCTTCGGGGACATCTCTTTCGTTTCTCTCGGGACCGCTGGGTCTAATCCCCGTGGGCCCTGAATCGGTTGCTGTGTCGCCGGCTTCCTCTTTGGGTTTTTCATGGTTCAGTGCCTTGGTGGCTCCTCGAGCCCTCGCTCGATATGTTCATGGACGCCTCATCTCTCGGCTATGGCTTTGTGACCAGTGCTCACCAGGCCAGCCAAGGGCGGTGGGGTTTGTCCTTCCATTGAGCTCACTGCACTGTACAGGAGTTCGCGGTGATTTGGCTGTTGCTTCGGAGGGTTTGAGTCACTTTGGGTTCCACGATCCAGTTCCATTCGAATTGTTCTCCAGTGGTTCATTGTCTGAACTGTGGGGGTTCTCTTTGGTTCTTGGCTCTTTGGGGCTGGTCGCTTCAAGTGACTCGTCTGCTGGATTCTTGGGATTTGGCTCTCTGCGTGGTTCATATCCAGGGAGTGTCCAACATTCTGATGGGATGGCTTGTCTCGGTTCATTCCCCTATCTATGGAATGGACGGTAGACACTGACCCCTTCAGTTGGCTCTGCTGGACGTTCGGGCACCCGTAGGTGGACCTTTTCGCATTGGCGTGGTCGTGGCATCTCCCAATATATTTGGTGCCCTTCCCCGACTCTGAAGCTGTCACAGTGGATGCCTTTCGGCAGGACTGGTTGAGGTGGGGTTACCTGTACTTCTCCTCCCCCTTAAGGGACAGCTGTTACTTCAGGTCCTGACTCGTTTGGAGACTTACCAGGGGAGAGTAGATCTGTTGGCCTACCTCCTCGAGGGAGTTGGTTTTCCCCCCAACATGAAACCTAGCCTTGGTTTCAGGCGCTACTTGCTCAGTGTCCGAACCCAAGATGTTTTCCACGGCTCTGCCTCTTTCAGCATATCGGTCTGGTTAGTTACCTACCTGGCTGGTTTGGTCTTCTCTTCCACTCTTCGTGTCTGGTCTTTTTGATGCAGGTCTATCACCATTTGTATGGTGATCAGGTGGCTTCGTTGATGGTGTCCCCACCTGCAGGCTTCTTCGCAGAGACAGTATGAGGTTTTCTGGCATTTTTTCTCCCATTTTCTTTCTCTTCGTAGTTTGTTCTCTATTTCTATCGGGTTGTTTTGTCTTTCTCGCTTGGTTGTTTCAGGACTAAAATTTAATGCTTAATACAGTGGTACCTTCGTTTACGATCATAATCCGTTCCCAGCGACGTGTCATCAACCAAAACAAATTTTCCCATAAGAAATAATGCAAGTTGAATTAATCCGTTCCACACCCCTAAAAATATTAACTTTAAAATACATTTTATAGAAAATACTACTCATTTTCATACACAAAACAATCAAGTATAAATATAAATCATAAATAAAATAAGTGAAGATTAACTGCACTTTACTGAGGACTCTTGATGGCGTATGGGAGATGGTGAGCATGTAGGGAGGGAGGATTGGTGTTTGTGTAGGGGAGGGTTAGGAAAAGGGAAAAGAAGTGAGACCATCCTCTGCTCACCTTAAACACTTTTCATATCTGCATCACTGGTTCCAGATTTACCTTTCAAAAATTTCACTGCCTCTGTTATGTGGCAGCCAGTCAGAACTAGTCAGTCACAACATGTCAGTCAAGCATTCACAGTTAAGACCAGTTACAGGCAGTCATAATTAAAGGCAGTCAAGCATTCACAGTTGTGGTAGCAACAGGTTAGGCATTTACAGTCATTCAGCCATTTACAGTCAATCAGGCTTTCACAGTTAATAAACAACAAGAGTTTAATGTCAGGCAGTCTGCCTCCTGATCCACCAGTTGGTAGCAAGGAAGCCAGCCTTCTGTTAATTCCGTCCAGATGTGGCTGGGAGGGTACACCTGAGGGGGGGGGGGTCCAGAGTGGGGAATGGAGGTAATGGGGTAGTGCTATTTTGTGAGGTCGTGAGGTAGTGCTATTTTGGAGTTTGTTTTTTGCAAGATTTGCTGTGTAATACCTGCAGGTAATGATGATCAATGTGCTGATTGGTGTAGATATGAGACAGAAGATTTATATCAGGATCAATATCAGTATGCATTTAGATGCAATGGGGTCATGATACAATAAGACAAGCAACTACAGAACAGTTAAATACTAAATCTGCTGTAAATATAAAGTAATTATAGCAAAACACAACAATAAATGCAGATACTCATACAATAGAAACAATTAAAGTAAAATAAAGATCACTGTAGATAGTCAGGAAGGATACAATAGTTAAACAGAGAAAACAAAAAATCATTAGAGACTGACAAGATTAATGTATATTAAAAATAATAATCTTAAAGATAATTAACTTTATATAGCTTAGTTATGATACTATAATTAGTATGAACTTAAGAAAAAAAAAGAGCAATTAATTAATTCCAATAAATGACACACAAAATCAAATTACAATTAAATTTAAAAATAACAGGGTAAGATTATACATACATATGACTTTAGATTTATGAAGATTTACTGATTTTTAGATATGAAGATTTACTATGATACTGAGGTAGATGCCTATATAAGTACAATACATAGTAGCATGCTTACATAGTAATCAGAGGTAGAGGTAGATGCTTACATAGTAGCAAATAAGCCAAGATACAGACAGTAGTGGAAGTAGCAATAAAGGCAAGATACAGACAGTAGTGGTAGTAGCAATAAAGACAGTAGTGGTAGTAGCAATAAAGGCAAGATACAGACAGTAGTGGTAGTAGCAATAAAGCCAAGATACAGACAGTAGTGGTAGTAGCAATAAAGCCAAGATACAGACAGTAGTGGTAGTAGCAATAAAGCCAAGATACAGACAGTAGTGGTAGTAGCAATAAAGCCAAGATACAGACAGTAGTGGTAGTAGCAATAAAGCCAAGATACAGACAGTAGTGGTAGTAGCAATAAAGCCAAGATACAGACAGTAGTGGTAGTAGCAATAAAGCCAAGATACAGACAGTAGTGGTAGTAGCAATAAAGCCAAGATACAGACAGTAGTGGTAGTAGCAATAAAGGCAAGATACAGACAGTAGTGGTAGTAGCAATAAAGCCAAGATACAGACAGTAGTGGTAGTAGCAATAAAGCCAAGATACAGACAGTAGTGGTAGTAGCAATAAAGACAGTAGTGGTAGTAGCAATAAAGACAAGATACAGACAGTAGTGGTAGTAGCAATAAAGCCAAGATACAGACAGTAGTGGTAGTAGCAATAAAGACAGTAGTGGTAGTAGCAATAAAGACAGTAGTGGTAGTAGCAATAAAGACAGTAGTGGTAGTAGCAATAAAGACAGTAGTGGTAGTAGCAATAAAGGCAAGATACAGACAGTAGTGGTAGTAGCAATAAAGGAAAGATACAGACAGTAGTGGTAGTAGCAATAAAGGCAAGATACAGACAGTAGTGGTAGTAGCAATAAAGGCAAGATACAGACAGTAGTGGTAGTAGCAATAAAGGCAAGATACAGACAGTAGTGGTAGTAGCAATAAAGCCAAGATACAGACAGTAGTGGTAGTAGCAATAAAGACAGTAGTGGTAGTAGCAATAAAGGCAAGATACAGACAGTAGTGGTAGTAGCAATAAAGCCAAGATACAGACAGTAGTGGTAGTAGCAATAAAGACAGTAGTGGTAGTAGCAATAAAGACAAGATACAGACAGTAGTGGTAGTAGCAATAAAGACAAGATACAGACAGTAGTGGTAGTAGCAATAAAGACAGTAGTGGTAGTAGCAATAAAGACAAGATACAGACAGTAGTGGTAGTAGCAATAAAGCCAAGATACAGACAGTAGTGGTAGTAGCAATAAAGACAGTAGTGGTAGTAGCAATAAAGGCAAGATACAGACAGTAGTGGTAGTAGCAATAAAGGAAAGATACAGACAGTAGTGGTAGTAGCAATAAAGACAGTAGTGGTAGTAGCAATAAAGACAAGATACAGACAGTAGTGGTAGTAGCAATAAAGACAGTAGTGGTAGTAGCAATAAAGACAGTAGTGGTAGTAGCAATAAAGACAGTAGTGGTAGTAGCAATAAAGACAAGATACAGACAGTAGTGGTAGTAGCAATAAAGACAGTAGTGGTAGTAGCAATAAAGACAAGATACAGACAGTAGTGGTAGTAGCAATAAAGACAGTAGTGGTAGTAGCAATAAAGCCAAGATACAGACAGTAGTGGTAGTAGCAATAAAGCCAAGATACAGACAGTAGTGGTAGTAGCAATAAAGCCAAGATACAGACAGTAGTGGTAGTAGCAATAAAGACAGTAGTGGTAGTAGCAATAAAGACAGTAGTGGTAGTGGCAATAAAGACAGTAGTGGTAGTAGCAATAAAGACAGTAGTGGTAGTGGCAATAAAGACAGTAGTGGTAGTGGCAATAAAGACAGTAGTGGTAGTGGCAATAAAGACAGTAGTGATAGTGGCAGTGGCAATAAAGACAGTAGTAGTAGTAGTAGTAGCAATAAAGCCAAGATAAAGACAGTAGTGGTACAGTAGTAGAAATAAAGACAGTAGTGTAAGTAGCAATAAAGCCGAGATTAAGACAGTAGTGGTAGTAGCAATAAAGAGAGTAGTGGTAGTATCAATAAAGCCTAGATAAAGATAGTAGTGGTAGTAGCAATAATGCCAAGATAAAGACAGTAGTGGTACAGTAGTAGCAATAAAGATAGAAGTGGTAGTAGTAGTAGTATAGACAGTAGTGGTAATAGCAATAAAGACAGTAGTGGTAATAGCAATAAAGACAGTAGTGGTTTTAGCAATATTAGCCAAGATAAAAATCATCTCAGAACTCGAGTTATACCATGTTAAAGATCTCGGGACTAAAAGTACTACAAACCAGACATGACAAGGATCATCTCATCGAGACCAATTAAATACTCAATAAGTTGTAAGATATTAATGCAGCTCAATTCTTTAAAAGATCCAGCATAATTCATACAATGGGAACATGTAGTCAGTAGTGTACATAGGGTGACACATGTAGACTATTGACTACTGTACTGTGTTGAAACAAGCACTACTGTTAACATGTAAAAATGGCACAAGATTCATCCCAGTAAGTTTAGGAGAAAAGTCATATGGAAGGCTTCGGGAAGTTAGTTTTATTACTTTTGCAGTCTTTAATAACTGGATGCAGAGACAAATAATTAGTGTGAATTGAATGGGTATAATTCTGTAATGGATTCATCTTGGGGAAATACTTAGTGTCTTAAGATATAGAATTAAACATTATTTGGCCAGTTTGAGATATTTTTAACAGTACTGTACTTGGAAAGGTGATTGTGAAACTGGCTATACAGCTAATGGAAAAATAGAATTACAAATTACGATTAAAGAGGAGAAACTTACCGGCAAGGAGTAAAGGAACAGGAATAAAAACAGGAACAGGAGGAACACGACAACAAGCGTGATGCAGTACCACTTGTAGTTTTTCCAAATGATGTGCCTGAAGGACTTCCACGGTGAGGCAATCCAGAGGAAGGAGGTGGCTGGTCGGCTGTGAAAGAAATTTAGTTTGATAGTTCCCTCCCTCTATTTCCTCATTCATAAAAACTATTAGGAGAAAGTGCCAAGCCATTACGACTATATAGCACTGAGAAAGGATAAGGATTTGGGATGGAATGGGGGAAAGGAATGGTGCCCAACCACTTGGACGGTCGGGGATTGAACGACAACCTACTTGAAGCGAGGCCGTTGCTCTACCGTCCACCCCAAGTGGTTATGAGGAAAGAGAGAAGGTAAATTTTGGTATCGTATAGCAGAGATAAGTGCTACATAGATGTAATTTGACTTGAAGGCAAGAGGATACAAATATATTTAAGCTGAGGTTGTATTATATTGACCATCAACTTCATAGGCATTGCTTTTCCTGAAGATAGTTGGGGGATACTTTGTCTAAAAGGAAAAATTACAACCATTTCTTTTGTTGAAAAAGAAAATATTTAAAAACGTAGTGTATTTGTGAATGACGTTGTGCAGTGGATGAAGCACATTAATAAAGTGTAAAGTGTGAAATACATTAATAATCTTCATTCAGATTAAGGACCAATGGGTCTGGCTAACACTGAATAATTATCTACCCAGTGGGCACAACATCCAAGGACAATGCCAATTTAGCATCATCAGCATTGATTCAGTGTTGAATTAACTTTTAGGCTATGTCTTAACTCTTAGGCTGGGAGCCGGTCGGCCGAGCGAACAGCACGCTGGACTTGTGATCCTGTAGTCCTGGGTTCGATCCTAGGCGCCGGCGAGAAACAATGGGCAGAGTTTCTTTCATCCTATGCCCCTGTTACCTAGCAGTAAAATAGGTACCTGGGTGTTAGTCAGCTGTCACGGGCTGCTTCCTGGGGAAGGAGGCCTGGTCGAGGACCGGGCCGCGGGGACACTAAAATCCCCGAAATCATCTCAAGATAACCTCAAGATGTCACCGATCATTCCCTAACAACTCCGTGGTGTGGGGAAAAAACATTCATAATTTTTTCCTTTTAATATTGCTAAAATGCAGTCCCTGATCACAGTTGGAAAAAAATTGTAGTCGTAATGGCTTAGTGATTTCTCCTGAAAATTAGCCTACCTTACTTACCTTGTTTCACTCAGTCTGTAATATTAAATCTAGACTCAAAATGGTTTGACTGATAAATACTTTGTCATATCACTGGCTGAACAATATTTAAGTATCTCTTTATTACTAATAACGTTTTACACCATTAAATTTATAAATAAATTAACTGCTTTAAGTTATGCCTGAAACACTTTGCTTAATTTATACAATTTCTGTACCTATGAATTAACCACTGTGATGTGTTCTTATGTATATTTTATAACTAAAATAATCATTGTTTCTCTTCACAACCTGAAGATAAGTTACTAAGATTATTAGAGCATTGTGAAGTACAGTATACAAACACCAGGTACAACACCTGTGAAGAAAGACCCAGTCACAGTTTTATATTCACATTTTCATATTTACAGTTACATTGTTTACACTCACACTCCTTCACACACTTGCATATATATGTGTCGGCTGTCACTTTGACACTTATTCTCAAATTCACAAATAGATACAAGTACTGTATCATAGAACTTGTATCAGAATATACAATTTGTTAAAAGTAACTTACTCTGGATCGGGTAATTTAGGATTCATGTTGGGTTCGTCACGCCCCTGACCTGCTGGACGGAGTTTAGCCTCTTCCTCTGATACTACCTCCAATTCCATCTCTATCTTCCCCTGAGTAAAAAAATTAATAATTAAATACAACTGTAAAGGAGAGAATGAAAATATATTTAATAACTTAGTTTTTAGTTCTTGCGGTAATACTTGTATATATATTGCTGGAAGTCCCACCTCAGTAGCTCTCTGCAACTATAGCAATGGGGCTGCCAAGCCCCGTCGAGGCCACTGGAGATGGTGGCTTTCAGGTAAACAAGTTATTCTTTATTTTATCTAACCTTCTACTATAATATATGATACTTATATTGCCCATCTCTGGTATTCTAGCTACTGATTTATCTTACTTATGTCACACCAGAATTTCTCATCCATTTGTTTGGATTGGAAATTTGAAGGGTTATAATTATGGGCTTGGATAAAACTACCATCCATCCTTCAGATGGATGGTAGTTGCCCATATCAATAGTCTACCATTTCCCAGTACTCTTTTGTATAGTTTACATGAATTAAGTCAACACAATGTTTTAACCTTCATTATTTCCTTTGATAACCTACCAAGATTACATCTATACTGTATTGAGGAGTACAGTATATGGCCTTTTGAAAGGATAACTTTGGAATTTTTTTTTCCAAAAATAGCTTTAGAAAAAGATAAGTTTTGTACAAGGGGTTAAGTCCACAAGACACAAACTTACAGCAATCTCTGTGGTGCCTTCTGTAACACGAGTGAAGGGAAAGAACCCATAAATCCGCTTGGCCTCAAACAGATTGATAGAGTTGGTGTGGTCATCTAGCATTGTGATAGCCACACTGTTGGCATCCCCATCACCCATCATCTGTGGCACCTGTGAAGGTCCGACACCACCCACGCTCTTGGCAGGTTTGGGCAGGCGGCATAGGTCCAGTGTCATCTCGCCTAGGTGAGATCAAATTTGTTATTCATATATATGGAAAAAGTTTATCAAACAATCTTTCTGGAAAAAATGACTTTCTACAAAATAAACTATATACAGAATTTAGACTAACAAACAAAACCTGATATTATTTTTATTTTAAAGATTATCCCAAAAATTGTGCAGATAATTGGTCTGTGTTTAAATATTCTTATACTACAGTATTTATTTTGCTAAAATAAAAGTAAGATCTCTCAGTACTAGAGATGTATAGATACATATAGATGTATAGATGGATGGATGCACCTATCTGAACAGTCTCCTGAGAATATATGATAGTTTTCAATCATGTAAAATGTAAACTATTTGAAATATACACAAAAATATAACCGACAATATTCTTTAAATACCAGACTTATTTGGCATATTTATAATGCTAACTAAAGCTTACAACAACCTTAATTTTATATAGAAAAAGCAAAAGTTACAAAAATTTTTACTAATATATAATCATTATGCTTAGGTAGCTCTAGAACAAATGATATCTTTAACACATTGACACTCAATCTGAAGATTGCAGGATCCATGAATCTCTATAGGTTATCTTGAGGTTATCTTGAGATGATTTCAGGGCTTTTTAGTGTCCCCGCGGCCCGGTCCTCGACCAGGCCTCCACCCCTAGGAAGCAGCCCGTGACAGCTGACTAACACCCAGGTACCTATTTTACTGCTAGGTAACAGGGGCATAGGGTCAAAGAAACTCTGCCCAATGTTTCTCGCCGGCGCCTGGGATCGAACCCAGGACCACAGGATCAGAAGTCCAGCGTGCTGTCCGCTCGGCCGACTGGCTCCCCGGTCGCATAGAAGAAATGAAATTGCAAATGTTCCATCTTGCTCTCTCTTGATCTTTCACATTCATTGGGAGACAACTCAGAATGGAAGACCTGCACTTTTTGCAGTCTCTCAAAATCTGTTGGATCCTTCTAAACTGGCTTTGTTCTTTCAATCCAAATACTTATGTGCAATCTAAAATATCCAGATTCTCTTAAGCGGTGTTGATAAATATGGATGCCACATGTATACGTACTAAGGTAATCATCTCTGAGAATGAGGTCGTTGTCCCAGAGCTGGAGTGTGAGTTGCGGTGGTCGTCGCTGCTCGGTTGTATGGAGGCTCCAGGGGTGTTCCTTGTGTTCCACCACCATTACTTGCTCAGCCTCCAACATATTAAGGTTGTATACCAAACGCCAATTGAAGTTAGCATCCCCATCCAAACATCTAAAATAATAATAATAATAATAGTATGATAGTATGTAGAGTCTTTAACCCTTAAACTGTGCAAAACTGCATATGAAGTTTTGAGTAACAGACGCAAAAGTGTACATCACTGTATATGTAGTTTTGGAGTACTACGCAAGATTTAAACAGCCCGTGGATAAATGGGGTTCACATCACCTTCCTCAGGGCTCTTGTAAACAGATGCCATTTCTAAAAAAAAAAAAATCGTGGGCAACATTCCTGGGTGTGATGGCCTCGGTACTGAGTGAGCCACCAAGGCTGGCTCATGCAGCATGAGCTCATAGCATTACTGTTCAGCTTGTGACCACAGCATCGCCTAAAAATGCCAAAAATATATGTAACTGGTATGATTTAGAGATGATAGTATTACAGAAGATCCCTGACTGTGATATAAATGATCAGTATTCTGATAATAACAGGATTATTGTGATAATTTGCGCTGTGCTGTAGGAGAAGTAATGTTGAGGGGGGGGGGGCTGTAGCATAGTCTACTGAATCTGTGTGGTCACCTGTTGCTCTTTGCACTCACTATACCAGCTTAGTGGTTCGCTATGGTAAACAAAACATGCAGATACTTATATATATAACGTCTGTATATAGTTAATAAAAGCAAAAACAGTATGGTGAGAGAAGAATGTTGGCGAGTGAGGTAAGGTGAGGGAGGGAGTGGCAGCCAGTGGCGGGCTGGCTGGCTGGTGTGTGGTGGCTACTCCTTACTGCTGTTTGACTCAGCATACCAACTTAGTGGTTCGTTATGGTGAACAAAAATGTAGATACTTATATATAATGTGTATACATAGTGTAATAATATCAAAAGGAGTATTGGGAGAAGCCATTTTGGTGAGGGAGGTGGTGACATCTGCATGACTTGTCATGCTGGGTAAGGGTGGCCACTATGCTCTTTGGGCACTATACCGCCTTAGTTGAACAGTTATGGTGAACAAAACCCGTAGATACTTATATATAATGTGTGTATATAGTGTAATAACACCACAAACAGTATACTTGAAGGAGGAATGTTAGTGCATCTGGCCTTGAACCATTGAGGGAGGGAGGGAGGGAGGGAGGGAACACCAGTTGTGTGTGGCCACCTGCTACTGTCTGCTGTCACCATAAAAGCTTAGTGGTTCGCTATGGTGAACACAAATATAGATACTTACATATAACAAGCATATATAGTGTAATAACAGCAAAAGAAGTGTTGGGAGAAGCCATTTTGGTGAGGTAGGAGGCATCATCTTCCTGACTTGTCATGCTGTGCAAGGGTGGCCACCATGCTCTTTGTGCACTATGCCAGCTTAGATGAATAGTTATGATGAACCAAACATGTAGATACTTTTATATAATGTCTGTATATAGTGAATAAATGCAAAAACAGTATGGTGGGAGGAGGATGTTGGCAAGTGAGGCGTCTTTGAGGGAGGGAGTGGTAGCGAGTGGCTGGCTGGCTGGTGTGTGCTGGCCACTCCTCGTTACTTTTTGACTCTCGATATCACCTTAGTGGTTCATTATGGTGAACAAAACATGCAGATACTTATATATAACCTATGTATATAGTGTAATAACCACAAAAGTATTTGTTTGTTTTATGAACATAATAATTGAATCAATAATATGCACACCATAATTTCGAGTACAGCGATGATTCACACATTTTATTATATAAATATATCACATTATTGAATAATATTACTGCAAAAAAACTAAGAAAAATCAGAGACATTGAAACAGGTAATAATATCTTTGTGGCAATACCCGCCTGACAGCTGGGGCGGACCAGACCGCCTCCGACGCATGATCTCTCGGCGCCCCTTTTTTGCCAGACTTCCCCGCCCTATTGCTGCAATGCATTTATGTTGTCTGTATCACACATTAACTGTAAGTTGCAACATAATTTCAAAATTCTAACAATTTTAACTTTTCCACTGCACACCTATCAATAGTTGACAACCCCTAGGTGTGCAAGACCAGCGTTAAATGTAATGAAATGCCAATTTCTGGGCGAGCCCCTTTGGCTCGCTTTGCCCCTTGTATCTAACATCTTCAATGTGTGTACTGCCTAACAGGTGCCATCAGTCGTGTTCTTTGGCCTACCGGGAACAAAAGCCAAAACCTGCCCCCCCCCCTTCTCACAGAGGTGCAGGGAGCAGTGGCATCTATTTTGTATATGAAACCACCAGGGAAGGCACCCAGAAAGTCAGTGAGACAAAACAGACCACAACTGGCTACTTCCTATACCTGCAGACTCGAAAACGGCCATAGAACTCCCCAAAATTAAAGAAACAACTGAAAATGTTTTGATCCAGTTCACACTAGTTTATCCCCCATCCCCATTTGGGGGATGGGTGGGCAGTCCGCTGTTCCCAGGCCACGAGCCAGTCAGTTCTTTGATGTGTCTGGCTGCCACATCGCTCTGGTCACAGTGCATTTTTCTTGTTTTTTTGCCTTAGTGGCTGTTCCTTACACTATTCTGTGTATGTGGGCCAGGAGTTGTGTGTACTTGGAACAGCATGTGCATGTGGGTTTCCTTCCCTATGTGCTCTCTAGTGCTGCCCTTGCACTTCCAGGGTTTTCTTTTGTGGCGTGTTCAGGGACATTCCTTCAAAAGTCCACCAACCTTGTGGTGGTTTTTGCCTTGGGTTGAGTCTGGGGTTCTTCACCCTGCATCTTTTCCCACCCTATAGTGGGCAATATATGCCACTTACGATTTTTTTATTATTTTTCCCGTGATCAGTGAACACAAATTAACAGGTTAGAAAGAAAAAATATTTTTTTTTTTTCAAAATGACATGCGCCTGTGGGGATGACAGGATATTAAACCCCGAGCATGTTAAGGGTTAAGCAAGAAAGAGAAGGATGGGCGGACTGTATTTTTTTGGACTGTCGGAAAGTCTTTGACACAGTACCCCATAAAAGGTTGATGCATAAGCTGGAGAAACAGGCAGGAGTAACTGGTAGGGCGCTCCAGTGGATAAGGGAGTACCTAAGCAATAGGAAGCAGAGAGTTACAGTGAGGGGTGAGACCTCAGACTGGCGTGAAGTCACCAGTGGAGTCCCACAGGGCTCTGTACTTGGACCTATCCTGTTTCTGATATACGTAAATGATCTCCCAGAGGGTATAGACTCATTCCTCTCAATGTTTGCTGACGACACCAAAATTATGAGGAGGATTAAGACAGACGAGGACAGCTTGAGGCTTCAAGAAGACCTGGACAAGCTGCAGGAATGGTCGAACAAATGGCTGTTAGAGTTTAACCCAAGCAAATATAATGTAATGAAGATAGGGGTAGGAAGCAGGAGACCAGATAGAAGGTACCATTTGGGAGATGAAATACTTCAAGAGTCAGAGAGAAAGACCTGGGGGTTGATATCACGCCAGACCTGTCCCCTGAAGCTCATATCAAGAGGATAACATCAGCAGCATATGCCAGGTTGGCTAACATAAGAACGGCCTTTAGAAACTTGTGTAAGGAATCTTTCAGAACATTATATACCACACATGTCAGACCAATCCTGGAGTATGCAGCTCCAGCATGGAGTCCATATCTAGTGAAGCATAAGACTAAACTGGAAAAGGTTCAAAGGTTTGCCACCAGACTAGTACCCGAGCTGAGAGGTATGAGCTACGAAGAGAGACTACAGGAATTAAACCTCACTTCGTTGGAAGACAGAAGAGTTAGGGGGGACATGATCACCACATTCAAGATTCTCAAGGGAATCGACAGGGTTGATAAAGACAGGCTGTTTAACACAAGGGGCACACACACTAGGGGACACAGGTGGAAACTGAGTGCCCAAATGAGCCACAGAGATATTAGAAAGAACTTTTTTTAGTGTCAGAGTGGTTGACAAATGGAATGCATTAGGAAGCGATGTGGTGGAGGCTGACTCCATACACAGTTTCAAGTGTAGATATGATAGAGCCCAATAGGCTCAGGAACCTGTGCACCTGTTGATTGACGGTTGAGAGGTGGGACCAAAGAGCCAGAGCTCAACCCCCGCAAGCACAACTAGGTGAGTACATGCTGCACTACAGCACACCGAGGTAGGTTGTTCTAGTAGAGTGGTCCTGACTAGTTTGATTTACTACAGAGCACCAGAGTCACATCCTAGTGCCTAGGCTTCTTGTTTAGCTCAAGCTTTCAGGCCCTAAAAATCCTCAGTGGGTTTAGCGGTCCATTTGGATACACCTGTAACCCCACCTTTGCTAGGTGCAAGGTTGAAGGGTGTACATCGTCTATGCCACCAGCTGATGTATAACCAGTCTGATGTAAGCTGGTCTGATGGGCCCCACACACACACAGCACAGTGTCAACATGCTAGTTAACTGATGCAAAATAGACCACACAAGGTTAGAAAAATGCAAATGAAATCCAAACAGTGAGGTAGAACTCCTTCAGCTCCCCCCCCCCACCCCCACGGAAGGGGGGGAGCTGTACAGACAAGCAATGCGACTGTGTGTTGTGATGTTTGCTTGTTTTCTTGTTTCCTTGGGAATGGAGGGAGTTCTACCTCTCTGTTCATCTTTTGTTTGAATTTTTCTTACCTTGTGCGGTCTGTTTTGTTACACCTACTCTTCTGGGTGCATGACCCCAGTCGATGGCAGGTAAGGTAAACCCCCCAACCACAGGGGTTTTCCAGGGCCATTGCTCCCTGTGCCTCTCTGAGGGTACCAAGTTCTGGCTCATGGTCCCCAGTAGGCAGAACTCCATTGACTAAATCCCTGGTCTAATGTATCGCATATTAGCCCGATAGCTCGAGGGAGCCGAAGGAGGCTCCCCTCAGAAAAGGCTTTTGACAAAGTTCCACACAATAGGGTGTTTTGGAAATTGGATCATGCTGGAGGGGTGAAATGGAGATTATTGATGTGGATGAAAAATATTCTAATGGACAGAAAGATGAGGGAGGTAATTAGAGGCAATGTATCTGACTGTAGGAGTGTTACTAGTGGAGTACCACAGGGTTCAATTCTTGCTTCAGTAATGTTCATCATTTACATAAGTGATCTACCAGAAGGAATACAGAATTATATGAATGTTTGGTGATGATACTAAGCTACTAGGGAAGATAAAAAACCTAGATGATTGCCATGCCCTTCAAATAGATTAGACAAAATAAGTGCTTGAAGTACCATGTGGCAAATGGAATTCGGTGTGCATAATGGTTTCCAGAACTGAAAAACAATAGTTATGAAGAGTGCCTAGAGGTATTAAGTATGCCAAAACTAGAATTTAGAAGATAGAGGCAATATAATTATCAATTACAAAATAATAGAAAGAATCTTCCAAATTGACAGAGGAATTCCTGAAACTACTAACTTGAAGAACTGGTTATAGATTCAAGCTACTGGTTACTGGTTATAGATTCAAGCTACTGGTTACTGGTTATAGATTCAAGCTACTGGTTACTGGTTATAGATTCAAGTTACTGGTTACTGGTCACAGATTCAAGCTACTGGTTACTGGTCACAGATTCAAGCTACGGGTTACTGGTTATAGATTCAAGCTAAAGAAACAAAGATGCCCCAAAAAATATTAAAGTTTTCTCACAGAGTGGTAGATGGTTGGAACAATTGAAGTGAGTGTGTGGTTAGGCCAAAAACGTCAGTTGTTTCAGTGTTATGTGACAGAGTGCTAGAAAGACGGGACACCACAAGCGGAGCTCTCATCCTTAGGTAATTACACTTAGGTAATTACATACAGTACCTGTAGTGGATATCTGTCTTCTGGACATTGCTTGTGCCCTGGAGCCATCCCTTGACATACACGTCGCTCATCCTCTCTCCACCAATCAAGCTGGTCTCCTGTAGCGGGGCCTCAAATACATTGTACACCACCACTCGCAGAGTATACCTTAGAAGGAGGGAAAATGCTATTGTAAGCAAGAATAATCTGTCTGGCTAAAATTAAAATATAAAAAGCCATTTTCCAATTTAGAAAAATATTTAAAAATTAAATATATATATACAGTATATACCATTTTTGTTCAAGATGTAACGTAAGGCTTTCTATACCAACTGCACATAATAAGGGATACACAATATACTTTCAGACTTGCTTGTGAACCTGATGTGGTGTAATTGATCAGTAAATTAAACCTTTAGACTTACTTATGTGCCTGACGAGGTGTAATATCAACAGGTGGGGGTAAAACATCCTTGGAGGATGGGAAGAGATCAACCCATAGCTTGAGCTGGCCCTGTGGCAGTCCTGGGTGTGCCGGGTGCATCAGGACTCGAGTCTCCACGTGCTCGGGGACCAGAGGCATAGCCTTGTGTAGCACATAGAGGGCCAGTCTCTCGTTGGCATCTCCAACTGTCGGTGGCAGTACACTATCTGGTGGCTCTGAAATCGTACGAGTTTTCATGTTCTTTTTCCTGTTGTATTTTTGCTTGTATTTTGTGTATTTTTAGTTTCTCTTTCACACAAAATACTCATTCTTATGATTTATCACTCGTAAATGATCAAACAATATTTTGTTACATTTCTCCAAATGGATTAAAGTCTGTTTACACTTCCTTGTTTACTTATATGTAACAATGGTGGGGGGGTACGGAACCTAAAAAACATGCCTTGGACAGTGGGAACCATGCATGGGAAAGGGGAAAACACACACATGGAAGGGGGGGGGGGGGAACACACACAAAGGGGGGGGGTGAAACACAGACATGGGAGGGGGTGAAACACACACACACAATGGGATGGGGGTGAAACACACACACAGACATGGGAGGGGGGTGAAACACACACACACACACACACAGACATGGGAGGGGGGTGAAACACACACACACACACACACAGACATGGGAGGGGGGTGAAACACACACACACAATGGGAGGGGGGGTGAAACACAGACATGGGAGGGGGGTGAAACACACACACACACAGACATGGGAGGGGGGTGAAACAAACACACACACACACACACACTGTGCTGGTAAAAGAACACCTAAAGGTGAACGAAATAGTGACTGCCAATCCACAAGAAGTTGACATAATAGCACTAGAGATCTGCCATGATAAACTAATGATAATAAATGCATATAGTCCACCGCCAAGCAGCACATGGTCAAAGGAGGAGGTAGATAGTAAACGTGAAGGTCTTATAACAATAATGAGAGAGATTATAGCGAGAGCGGATAACGATAGATCACGACTGTTGATAGTCGGTGACTTCAACTTGAAATCCATAGACTGGGAAGCATATGAAGCTAAAACAGAAGATTTTTGGACCTGTAAATTTGTAGACCTCATCCTGGAAACATTCTTGTATCAACATGTTAAACAAGCTAAGAGGATGAGGGAAGGGGACGTTCCCTCCATGCTAGATTTGATATTTACCAGGAAGGAGGAAGAGATATTTGACATTCAGTACCTTCCTCCCTTGGGTAAAAGTGACCATGTCTTTTTGGGAATAAAGTATGCAATGCGTTATAAGCTGGAAGAAAATAAGGAGGTTGAAGCAGTTGAAAAACCAGACTTCAGGAGAGGACATTATGGTGACCTTAGAAATTTTTTTAGTGAGTATAATTGGACAGACTTGATGCTAGGCAAGGAAGTGAATGAGATGTATGGCAAGTTTTGTGAAATATATGATAAAGGCACAAAAAAATTTATACCAAAACAGAGATGCAGAACTAGGAAACAGGATTGGTTCAATAGAAATTGGGAGAGGGCTAGAGACCAAAAGACACAAAAATGGAATCAATACAGGAAGAGGCCGAACCCCCAAACATACCAGCGATACAAAGATGCGAGAAACAACTACATGGCAGTGAGGAGAGAGGCAGAAAGAAATTTTGAAAAAGGGATTGCAGACAAATGTAAAACAGAACCAGGTCTATTCTATAAATTCATAAACAACAAATTGCAGGTAAAGGATAATATTCAGAGATTGAAAATGGGAAATAGATTCACGGAAGATGAAAAGGAAATGTGTGAAACACTAAACGAAAAGTTCCAAAGTGTGTTTGTACAAAATGAAATCTTTAGGGAACCAGATACAATAAGAATTCCAGAGAACAACATAGAGCACATAGAGGTGTCTAGAGACGAAGTGGAAAAAATGCTCAAGGAGCTCGGTAAGAACAAAGCAGCTGGCCCAGATGGCGTTTCACCATGGGTTCTGAGAGAATGTGCATCTGAGCTCAGCATTCCACTTCACCTGATCTTTCAGGCATCCCTGTGTACAGGAATCGTAGCAGACGGGTGGAAACAGGCTAACATAGTTCCAATCTACAAAAGTGGCAGCAGGGAAGACCCCCTCAATTATAGACCTGTATCATTGACAAGTGTAATAGTGAAAGTATTGGAAAAACTAATCAAAACTAAATGGGTAGAACACCTGCAGAGAAATGATATATCTACTGCATCTATTTGGACCTAAAAAAGGCTTTCGACAGAGTTCCACATAAGAGGTTGTTCTGGAAACTGGAAAATATTGGAGGGGTGACAGGTAAGCTTCTAACATGGATGAAAAATTTTCTGACTGATAGAAAAATGAGGGCAGTAATCAGAGGCAATGTATCGCAATGGAGAAATGTCACAAGTGGAGTACCACAGGGTTCAGTTCTTGCACCAGTGATGTTTATTGTGTACATAAATGATCTACCAGTTGGTATACAGAATTATATGAACATGTTTGCTGATGATGCTAAGATAATAGGAAGGATAAGAAATTTAGATGATTGTCATGCCCTTCAAGAAGACCTGGACAAAATAAGTATATGGAGCACCACTTGGCAAATGGAATTTAATGTTAATAAATGTCATGTTATGGAATGTGGAATAGGAGAACATAGACCCCACACAACCTATAAATTATGTGAGAAATCTTTAAAGAATTCTGATAAAGAAAGAGATCTAGGAGCGGTTCTAGATAGAAAACTATCACCTGAGGACCACATAAAGAATATTGTGCAAGGAGCCTATGCTATGCTTTCTAACTTCAGAATTGCATTTAAATACATGGATGGCGATATACTAAAGAAATTGTTCATGACTTTTGTTAGGCCAAAGCTAGAATATGCAGCTGTTGTGTGGTGCCCATATCTTAAGAAGCACATCAACAAACTGGAAAAGGTGCAAAGACATGCTACTAAGTGGCTCCCAGAACTGAAGGGCAAGAGCTACGAGGAGAGGTTAGAAGCATTAAATATGCCAAAACTAGAAGACAGAAGAAAAAGAGGTGATATGATCACTACGTACAAAATAGTAACAGGAATTGATAAAATCGACAGGGAAGACTTCCTGAGACCTGGAACTTCAAGAACAAGAGGTCATAGATTTAAACAAGCTAAACACAGATGCCGAAGAAATATAAGAAAATTCACCTTCACAAATAGAGTGGTAGACAGTTGGAACAAGTTAAGTGAGAAGGTGGTGGAGGCCAAGACCGTCAGTAGTTTCAAAGCGTTTTATGACAAAGAGTGCTGGGAAGACGGGACACCACGAGCGTAGCTCTCATCCTGTAACTACACTTAGGTAATTACACTTAGGTAATTACACACACAGACATGGGAGGGGGTAAAACACACACACACACACACACAGACATGGGAGGGGGGTGAAACACACACACACAGACATGGGAGGGGGTGAAACACACACACACAGACATGGGAGGGGGTGAAACACACACACACACAGACATGGGAGGGGGGTGAAACACACACAATAAGTTGACAACACCATGGGCGGCCATAACTTAGCAATCTGAGGGACAAAGACGGGATATTAGACAAGGAGAGCTAGTTACCAAAGTCCGTGAGAGCATAAGGGACCCCAGAGAGGGTGAGGCTGAGGGGCTGGGATTGCCAGACGGGGCTGTCAAAGTTCCTCAACTGAGCAGCTTTCTTCAGAATCTCGGTTGGGAGCTCGGTGTCTCTCCACTTGTTGGCTCCACTCCTGTGTGAGTATCAGGATAATACAATTTAATGAATGAATTGGTGAATATAGAAGTGTCAAGAAGAATACCAATCAAATTGTAGGCAAGAAAGGTATTGAACCATATAACAGTCCCTGTAGTGCAGTGGTAAAGCACTCATCTTGTGTTTCTGTTTCTGTTCTACATTATGGCTTACTGAGCTTGAAGGTGTTGCCCCTTGTATGTGTTACATTTGACCTCCTAAAGAAGTTGTCTGGATTAATATCTTCCAATTTTTTCAAATTTTTGAAGGTGGCGTGGTCACCATGTTTGGATACAGTAGTCCAGCTAGGGGAGCACACCAGAGACTTGTAGAAGTGAATGACTATGTTGTTTCTGTTAAGATCGAAAGTTCTTTTGATTATTCTTAATGTTTGGTTGGCTTTGTATGCTCCTACATGCTCCTCTGTATTCTCATGCAGCATTATAACCACATTTAAATAAGTTTGATAAAAACCGAGAGGCAATAACTTAACACTTTCGCCCGGGCGTGACGCAGCATTGCGTCATCCGTTTACTGGCGGTAATTCCGGGGATGACGCAGCATTGCGTCATCCACTTTAAATAATTGCCAAAAATCAGGTTTTTATCCGATTTTTTTGGGACTAGTTTTAAAATGCGCGCCGATGTCTTCCCATTTTCCTTGTTGAGCCTCGTGGCCCTCAGGCGGCTTGGCACATGCCGTGGGCCCATTGCTTTCGCTCCACTGTTGTGACCAATGTCGCCTCCCCTCGCATCTCAAACGTGTGAACATTTCGCCTATTTTCCGTGGCTATATTTCTTACTGCGGCTTTAGAAACTATCTACGCTTACTCCACGATGGATAGTGATCATGAACAAGGCCCTTCCAGGAAGAAAATTGCGAAAGAAAGGCTTGAAAAGCAGAAGCTGAGTAGTGTACAGGAGAAGTACAAGCATGTGAGACTAACTCCCACCATCCACTCCACCTATACAAAACATGGGTTGACCCTGCAGGAAACGTTTTCCAGGAGCAGGTGGAGTGGATAAAACAAATGTTCAACACACAACACTGAGGTGGTAAGTGCAAAATTTTTTATTATTTATTTATTTATTTTTGTTTGTTCATACTTTCCCGTATTGTACAGGCAATGTTGTTCTTCAATTGGCCCTTATATGCACATATCCATCTGAAGAATTCTATTAGGAACATTTTCATACCTAAATGAGCGCTGTAACACGAAAATTGAGATTACCACCAGGAAATAATACTAAACATATGTGGCCGGGAATTGGGAGTGTAGCGGGAAGGTGTCTGAGCGCTCACTCACGGCTAACGCGTGGCCCGTCTTCAACTCGTCGGCGGTTGGAGCGTGACCAGGTTTTTTATTTTATATGCTAATATTCCCCTAGAGAATTCTATTACGAACCCATTGAGACCAAAATGAAAGATCTAGGACGAAAATTGAGGTGACCAGAGTGAAAATAGTGAAAACATTTTATCGCGTTTGCGAGCTCCGGGTAACTCGTTCGCACTTCTCTGCTTGCTGCGGGTCAGGATTAGCCAATTTAATGAATTTATATGAATATAGTGCCGTCAAGAGAATACCAATGCGAACACAATGATAGAAAATTTATTGAACCATATAACGAAAATTGTAGTGACAGTGTTGAAGAGAGTATCTTGCTTTTCGGAATTGTTCGCATTATGGCTCCGTGACACGCTGGGGCCCATATCGCCTTGTCGATGGGTTGGCGCATTTGACCTGCTAAAGAAGTGTCTGGATTAATATCTTCCAATTTTTTCAAATTTTTGAAGGTGGCGTGGTCACCATGTTTGGATACAGTAGTCCAGCTAGGGGAGCACACCAGAGACTTGTAGAAGTGAATGACTATGTTGTTTCTGTTAAGATCGAAAGTTCTTTTGATTATTCTTAATGTTTGGTTGGCTTTGTATGCTCCTACATGCTCCTCTGTATTCTCATGCAGCATTATAACCACATTTAAATAAGTTTGATAAAAACCGAGAGGCAATAACTTAACACTTTCGCCCGGGCGTGACGCAGCATTGCGTCATCCGTTTACTGGCGGTAATTCCGGGGATGACGCAGCATTGCGTCATCCACTTTAAATAATTGCCAAAAATCAGGTTTTTATCCGATTTTTTTGGGACTAGTTTTAAAATGCGCGCCGATGTCTTCCCATTTTCCTTGTTGAGCCTCGTGGCCCTCAGGCGGCTTGGCACATGCCGTGGGCCCATTGCTTTCGCTCCACTGTTGTGACCAATGTCGCCTCCCCTCGCATCTCAAACGTGTGAACATTTCGCCTATTTTCCGTGGCTATATTTCTTACTGCGGCTTTAGAAACTATCTACGCTTACTCCACGATGGATAGTGATCATGAACAAGGCCCTTCCAGGAAGAAAATTGCGAAAGAAAGGCTTGAAAAGGGCGGGAATTGGGAGTGTAGGTGGAAGGCGGCTGAGCACTCACTCGCGGCTAACGCGTGGCCCGTCTTCAACTCGTCGGCGGTTGGAGCGTGACCAGGTTTTTTATTTGATATGCTAATGTTCCTCTAGAGAATTCTATTGCAAATCCATTGAGACCAAAATGAAAGACCTAGGATAAAAATTGAGGTGACCAGAGTGAAAATAGTGAAAACATTTTATCGCGTTTGCGCGCTCCTGGGTAACTCGTTCGCACTTTCTCTGTTTGCTGCGGGTAATTAGCCGGGCTTTTGGAGTTTATATGCATTTAGTGCTGTAGAGAATTCTATTGCGAACACAATGATACCAAACTTAATCTCGTAGGACGAGAATTAAGGTGACAAAGTTGAAGAGAGTATACACTTTTCAGATTTTACGCACACCTCCGTGACACCCTGGGTCCCATATCGCACAGTTGAGGGGTGGCGAGCGGGGTGCACCAAAGTGTTAAATCAACATAGACATATTATCTTGAGGATCAATGTATGACTACTGCATTTTATGGGTTAATATAAATACAAGTTAGTGGAGAGAGGGAATGGTTCAAATAGTGTATAACAGATTACTTTTGTCTGAGTGAGTTGGCTACTTATTAAATTTAAATACTGAATTTAAAGTTAACTGGCAAATGCTTTTCAGTATTTATCTGGCTATTTGTGGTCGCCATTTGTGAATCATTTTGAAAAGTCATAATATGGTTTTCCCTTTCCACTACACCATAGTGTTACAGTATCTGTAGATTTTGTGAAATTGGTTTGAGAGTTTGTCATCTATGTTGTTGGTGTACAAGGTATTACAAAAAAAGATTGGCCATAAAATGTAATCTTGAAGTACTCCACTCCAGGTTTTTTCAGCCATATACATAGCCATATTCAGCCATTAGGAAGACCCTTTGCTTTATTTGTTTAACCATTATTTTATTCCTTCTAGTATTATACTGATTATTCTTATGTGCTTGCAGTTTCTGTACCAGTCTTTCATGTGTACCTTAACAATAAATAGCTTTACAAAAGTTCATGTACAGTCCATCTACAGAAATTCCAGTAACTCTGTACAATAGTTGGTTACCATTTCAGGAAATGAGCAAGGCTATCTTGAGGTTATCTTGATGATTTCGGGGCTTTTTAGTGTCCCCGTGGCCCGGTCCTCGACCAGGCCTCCACCCCCAGGAAGCAGCCCGTGACAGCTGACTAACTCCCAGGTACCTATTTACTGCTAGGTAACAGGGGCATTCAGGGTGAAAGAAACTTTGTCCATTTGTTTCTGCCTCGTGCTGGGTTTGTTTTTTTGTATAAAACTGTGTAATACTTTTAAAAGATTGTGCACTGTGAGAGGGTGAATGATTTCCTCTCTTAGAATGTTCTCCATACTAATTCCCAAGAGGTACTATTACAATTTCATTAAATCATAATATAGTAGGCCTAGTAGTATTGCAAAATATTTTCTACTTACACATGATACTGGCGGGGAAGACCAACTGTAGAACGATGGCGGGTTAGGAAGCGATTCTCCAAGTCTATGATGGTCTCGCCAATGAGATCATCCGAGGTGATGAGATCTCGGTCCCAAACTTGCACAGACAGATCCTTGTGTAGAGGCAATGTTCCACTGACCTCAAATACTCTTAACAAAGATGAAAAGAATGCAATATGAATTCTTATGAAATTTATAGTGTTTTCTGTATGAATGTTGATCAACACACAAATATTTTACTAGTGGATGCACATAATCACACATTATGACAAATCTACAATAGTAATATGGAGCTTATGAAAGGCTATGCTGTTTTGCTTTCAATTTGATAAGTCTACTATTTTAAACAATGTGCACTGTCCTTATATAAATATGCAAAGAACTTTACTTCACCTACAAGCTTACTTGTGTTTTACCCCTTATGTTTCCCTCAACCAAAAGCTTATTCATACAACCCCTGCAAGCACAACCAGGTGAGTACAAGTAGGTGAGTACATTACCCCCCTTCCTTGCTAGTTTCATTTAGAATCTTACTCTGATATATTCAATTACATGTCTTGCAGAATCAAGCTCAATGATGCTGGCTTTCTAAAAATAAAGCAATGTTTGTTGCTCTCTCTTCCTACTTCACTTTTTATATATCTTTTGTAAGATCTCTGTAATCGGAATGAATTTGTATTTATTATGCATGTGTAAATAATGGGAATAAGCAGGTAAATGATGAAAATATGAGGGGTAAATGGCACAAGTAACTGGGTTGTGGTGAAAAAGTTTTTAAATTCATTCATTTTGGACATTCTTGGTAAAAAATTCAGCTAACTCAAATGTTTGAATAAATCGAATGGGAATGACCCCATATGATTCAGATTACTGAGTATAGACAATACTCCCATACCTCCATTCCTATCTCATATTCTTTTTCTTCTCTCATTGCCTATTTCCCTCTCTCCTCCTGCTACTTCCTCCTCTCCATGAGTTACATTCTCCCATTCCCCTCTCTCCCCTCCTTATTCTCTATCCCCCCCCTCTCTCTCCCCCCCCCCCCATTACTCACTGTCCAAATATTGGGTTAAGAGTGTTGGGTCTGTAGTTATCTTTGGAGCTCTTGGTCATCTTGCCAAACTTGACCACAACATAAGGATCTGAGGATCCCCCAGCATCCTTGGGAGCCAGGTCCTCCCCCAGCACAACATATACCCGTGCTAACACCTCCTGCGGGCTTGGTGAAGGAAATCCATCAAGGATCAATGGCGGTTCGTCCGTGTCATCCGCCGAGAGTGGGTATACTCGGAAAGTGCCCTGAGGACAGAACACGGTGATAATGTCGTGAGTACATGAAAATGATAACAGAAATCCTCAATAAAGATAAATTTAATATATTTTTAAATTACATAGGATTAGATTATAGTGTTTACTTAGTAGTACAATATTTTATAAAGTCATTAATTACATCCTTCATGTCTATGATTCGGTGCCACACCTACTAGGTACCATTAGTCACGAAGTATTATTGGCCTATTGGGGACCACGAGCCAGAACCTTACCCCCTCAGAGAGGGGTGCAGGGAGTAGTGGCAATATGAACACATTACATTTAAAGTAATTCATATCTGCCAACACTAGGGAAGGCACTCAGAAAGTCAGTGAAACAAAACAGACTACTGCATGGTTAAAACAAAGACTGCAGCCTCAAAACTTCCAAAAAAACTACCCCACCTATGAAAACAACTAAAATTTTATGAAAATAGAATGAGCTAAATTGTCCCACCTGTCCCCCCTCCCCCTCATCTGGGGGAGAGGAGGGAGGCAGACCAGGTCAGCCGGCCCACACCACCCTTCAGTTCTATTCTGATGGTGCCTCGTTGCTGTTAGTCATTCTAGCTCCAGTTTCCCATTTTCAAGTGGTGTTTTACCTTTGTGGTTGCTCTTATACACTACTGTGAAGAATGAGCCACAAGTTCAAGAGTGCTTGGAGCTGCTTATGCTCAGGGTTATCTTCCCTGGTGCTCCTCAAGTGCTGCCCTTGCACGGTCAGGGTTATCTTCCCTGGGATGTACAGAACACTCCCTTTAGAGGGTCTCCTCACTTGGGGTCACAATCGCCCATTCTGGTAAGGCAGTGGTCTGTGATTCTGTCTTTCATCAAGCTGGGAGTGTTTTTCCTGGTAGGGCACACTGTAGTTAATTTATGTAATTAGTGCATCATGGAAGGCCCCCAGTTATTATCTGGGTGGTGCTATGTTCTCCTTAGCTGCTCATTCTCTGCAGTTTCGTCTTGTGGGCTTTGGGCTTTTTGGTTTTAATTGTTTTCTTTTTCATCTGTCACTTTGTCTCTTTGCTTGAACGTTGCCTCTTTGTGCTTTTTTGCCTTATTAGGCTTAGCCTAGGGTATCAGTTAAGTGACATATAGTGGCAATCGACCCACCTTATTGACCCCTTGCCTTTACTGTTGGCTTCAGGCAGCTAGGGGTTGCCTGTTCCGGAAGGGTCAAGTGCGCGGTGTGGCGTTCCCAGTGCCTGGGCTTCCTGTAGGGCTCGTTCACCCTACAGATCCTGGAAAACCCCCATGGGCTTGGTTTTACTATGGATACCTCTTCCAAACCTGCTCTCACCTTATGAAAATTTGAGGGTTGTTCATCACCTGTGCCACCTGGCAATTATCATACATTCTGCCTCCGCCCTGCTGCCTGTTGGGTCGGTAACCATTCAACCCTATGTTATGTGGGATTTGTTACCCCCCCCCATCCATGTGTGGCGCTTCTCACCCATTCACCTCCTTGAAGCTCAGATATTTCAGGTAATGACTGCCTTGCATTTCTGGTATTGAGAGGGAGCCAGGTGACTCGACAGTTGCTGGAACAGTTGTGTGGGAGCCGCAACTTTGCCCTTTCCATTGGGCAGGGTTTGGTTTCAACAGCTGTTCTGGTTTCTTCAGGGTAGCCCCTTTTGCCACTCTCACGATTGCTGGGTGAGGACTCGTGTAGCCCTGCACTGGTTGCTGCATCACCAGCTTCCTCTTTGGGCTTTTCAGAGTTCAGTTCCTTGATGCCTTCCTCTACCCTTGCTTGAGGTTTATATGGTTTACACATGAGGTTTACATGGATGCCTTGGCCGTCGGCTGGGGCTTTGTGACCAGTGCTCACCAGGCCGGCCAGGGTTGTTGGCATCCTCGTCTTTGGTAAGTGTTCAGGAGTTTGCAGCTGTGTGGCAGGTGCTGTGGAGGATTCGGCTTTCTCTGGGTTCGGTGATCCAGCTCCATTCAGACTGCTCCCTGTAGTTCATTGTCTCAACTAGGGGGAGTTCCCTTGCAGTCCCTGTCTCTTTAGAGCTGGTTGTTTCCAGTGGCTCATCTGTTGAGTTCTCAGGATTTGCTTCTCGGTGTCATTCACATCCAGGGAGTGTCCAACATCTGTTTGATACCTGCTTGATGGGGTTCTGGGAGTTCTTCTACTCCCCAAGCCTGGCCCGAAGTCAGGCTTGACTAAAGAGATCTTGGTCCAACAGGCTGTTGCTTGGAGCGGCCTGGAAGCCCACATATCCACCACAGCCCGGTTGGTCTGGCACTTCTTGAAGAAAATTATCTAGTTTTCTCTTGAAGATGTCTACCGTTGTTCTGGCAATATTTCTTATAACTCGCTGGGAGGACGTTGAACAACCATGGACCTCTGATGTTCATACAGTGTTCTTTGATTGTGCCTGTGGTACCTCTGCTCTTCACTGGCTCTCTTCTGCATTTTCTTCCATATCGTTCACTCCAGTATGTTATTTTACTGTGTAGATTTGGGACCTGGCCTTCCAGTATTTTCCATGTGTATATTATTTGATATCTTTCTCGTCTCCTTTCTAGCAAGTACATTTTGAGAGCTTTGAGATGATCCCAATAATTTAGGCGCTTTATTGCGTCTGTGTGCCTTATATGTTCTCTGTATTCCCTCTTATTTCAGCAATCAAGATGGAACAGTACAAGTGATTTGAATAGTACAACATTGTGATGGGATCCCTGGATTTGAATGTTCTTATAATCCATCCTATCATTTTTCTGGCTAACACAATATTTGCTTGGTCATGCTTCCTAAACGTTAAGTCGTTAGACATCATTATTCCCAAATCCTTTACATGCTGCTTTCCTACTATGGGCAAATTTGATTTTGTTTTGTACACTGTATTATGTTTAAGGTTCACATTTTTACTGTACCTGAGTACCTTGAATTTATCACTGTTATGCATCATGTTATTTTCTGCTGCCCAGTTAAAAACTTTATTAATATCTGTTTGAAGTTTTTCAATGTCTTCAGCAGAGGTAATTTTCATGCTGATTTTTATGCCATCTGCAAAGGATGATACGAAGCTGTGACTTGTATTTGAGTCTATATCTGATATGAGAATAAGGAAAAGAAGTGGTGCAAGGACTGTACCCTGAGGTACAGAGCTTTTAATTGTGCTTGGACTCAATTTTATATGGTTGACTGCATCATGTCAACTGGACACTGTGTTTAGTTTTCAGAAAAATGAGTATCCAGCATCCTACTTTACCAGTTAATCCCATTGACCTTATTTTGTGTGCTATCACTCCGTGTTTACATTTATCGAATGCGTTTGCAAGTCCATGTATACAACATCTGCATTTTGTTTTTCTTCTAATGCCTCAGTGACTTTGTTGTAGTGGTCAAGTAGCTGTGAGATTCACGATCTTCCCACTCTAAATCCATGTTGGCTTGGGTTGTGAAGGTCATTGGTCTCCATGAAACTGGTGACCTGACTCCTGATCACTCTCTCAAATACTGTACTTTTATTATGTGGGCTGTTAGTGCAACTGGTCTATAATTCTTTGCCAATGCTTTCCTCCCTCCCTTGTGTAGAGGGGCTATGTCTGCTGACTTAATTGCATCTGGTATCTCGCCTGTGTCCAAGCCCTTCCTTCACACTATACTTAATGCCTGTGTTACTGGCACCTTGCATTTCTTTATAAATATTGAATTCCATGAATCTGTACCCAGAACCAAGTGCATAGGGCATGTTTTCAATTTCTCTTTAAAAATCTGCCATGCTCATGTTGATATCAGTTATATTTACAGGGGTTTGGATATCAAGCATAAGGAAGTTGTCCGGATCTTCCACTTTTATGCTGTTTATTGGAGTGTAAACATGTCCTCGTACTGCTTTTTTTAGGATTTCACTAATTTCTTTGTCATTCTCAGTATATGAACCTTCACTTGTACAAATAGGTCCAATACTGGCAATGTTTTTTTACTTTTGATTTTGCATGTGAAGAAATATTTTGTTTTTTTCTTTATTTCTTGAATTGCTTTCTGTTCTAGTTGCCTTTCTTCAATCTTATGAGTGTTTCAGTTTGTTCGATTTCTTCAATCTCCCTGTTTAAATTATTAAATCCTGGCCAATGGTCTGTTCTGGTTGCGTCCCCTCTTCACAGAATGGACCGTCAATGCTGATTCCTTCATGGGTGCCCTGGTATCAGTCAAGCGAATGGAGTTCTTAGGCCTGCTGGGGACTGCGAGCCAGAGCCTTGCATCCCCTCAGTGAGGCACGGGGAGCAGTGACCTGTGGAAACCCCCATGTAGACGGAAGCATTCTGTGTCTGCCATCGATCAAGTCGGGCACCCAGGGGGGTGAGCGCCCTAGAACAGGCCCCTATTCTGGTTAAGAAATTGCTACTGAAAGCAGAACTAGTGGAGTGTAATCGGCTCTAATACACACTGTACCCAACATGAACTAGAGTCCTAGCTTTGTTGCTGTTGACTCTTCCCTTTCACAGTACATATATACTCAAATGCTCTAATCTTTCTAACAAATGTGACCTAACATAAGTTTATCCTTCCATTTATCTTTCCTTTTCTATTTCTTTTTCTGTTCGTTTCCTCTTACGTTCCCTTGCTATCCTCTTCTTATTCCTATTACTATCCCCTTCTCATTCAGTGGTAATAATAGGAGCTGCCTCGTATGGGGCCAATGGGCCTTCTGCAGATCTAATGCCTACTACTATCCCCTCTACTACACCTTACCCTTCATACCTTTTGCCCTGCTCCTCACCTCTCTCTTGCCTATTTATTGCCTTCATCACCTTCTCTCATCACAATCAACTTGAGAGTGGTCCAGGACGGACCGAAACATCGTCGTCCCTTCACCTTCTAGTGTGTTGTCTGATCAACAGTATGTCTTAGTCTGATATTTGGGTGCAGGGGTTTGGCCAGGGGTGTTTTGGTGGTCAAACAGGGTCTTGGCGGCTAGGTATCTCGTAAACATTCCTGGCCCTCGGTAGCATTGGGTTGTGTGTTGTGGCAGAGAATCTTCTTTGTCCTGATACCTGCAGTGCTGCATCCCTGGTAAATGCTCATTTTCCTTCTCTGTGAGTAGTTAGCTTCAGGGAGCCTAAAGGGGGCTTTCCCCAGAAAACCTGCAGTGACTGTAATGAAATGGCACTTTCTGGGTGAGCCCCAGAGGTTTCCTGACAACCCCCCCCCCCCCACCTCCCTAAGGGGGTGTCAGTGTGTTCCATCATCATACGGGTGGTGCAGGCTGGTTGACCAGGTATATCTCCCTCCTTTTCCCCTTCCCCCAAGTAAGGGGGGGGGGGGCAAACTAGCTTGCACTTGTTTCACAAAATTTTAGTTGTTTTCATAGTTGGGGGGAGTTATTTTGGCAGTTTTGAGGCTGTGGTCTTGATTTTAACCATAGAGTGGTCTGTTTTGTTTCATTGACTTTCTGGGTGCCTTCCCTGGTGTTGGCAGACATGAATTACTTTAAGTGTAAGGTGTTCATATTGCTGCTGCTCCCTGCGGCTCTCTCTGAGGGAGTCAGGTTCTGACTTGTGGTCCCCAAAAGACCAATAATACTCTGTAACTAATGGCACCTAGTAGAATGGTACTGAATCAGTGATAATAGCTTCAGGGAGCCTCTGGAGCTCACCCAGATATTGGTGATTCATTACATTCAATGCTGGTTTTTGGCATAACTCAATGAGCATCAAGTTTACTCATTTGTGAGTAAATACTTGGTATCTTTTTATTGTTTACTCATTACTATAACTCATCTGCAGCACTTACCTTAAACTCTCCAACCTCCTGGGCCTGGTCTCCGCGTCCTCGGAACAAAGGTACTGTGTCCACCAGGTCCCTAAACCCAGAGAACCTTGTTTCATCTTCTAAAGCTCCTGTTAGAATTTCCAGCTTCTCGTACCTGATGGAAAAAAAAGCTTACTCAGCATAATTAATATTATACAGGCTTTCTTAATATTACAAGGATTTACTTAGTTTTGTAAGGTTTGTCTTAATTCTGTAAGAATTTGTAATATTGTCAAAGTTATATTAACATTTTAAGGGCTTGCTAACTATTGTAAGGGTTTGTCAGGCCTCCAACACCCTAGTCAACCCTACTGGGAGGCAGGACCAGTTTTCTGGTTCTCTCTTCTTGCCTATATATAGAGATTGACAACACAACACCATGTCTTTAAATTTGCCTAACAATACACAAACAGCAAAGGCGTCTCTAGAGGATCACAATTTCTACACACACAGATAGACCATCACCAGATATATTCTGACCATAACACCAAAATATTCAACAAATACAACTACAGATGATTAGACATAGCTGAAGCACTACATATCACACACATCTAACAACAGCCAGCCTACACTTGGGTATATTCCACCGTCCAAAACACCAAGACTGGACCTCCTCCCCTGCCTCCCTCCTCCCCTGCCTCCCCCCTCCCCTGCCCCCCCCTCCTCCCCTGCCCCCCCCTCCTCCCCTGCCCCCCCCTCCTCCCCTGCCCTGCCTCCCTCCTCCCCTGCCCTGCCTCCCTCCTCCCCTGCCCTGCCTCCCTCCTCCTCACGCCACACCTACTGCCCCAGCCGACAGACCGTGTAACACTCTCATCATGGAAGATGAAATAAAAGTATAATAAGTAGATGAATACAGTAGTAGCAGGAAAGGTGAATATTATACTGAAAGGCAGGTATGGAAAGGCATACCAGGTATGCTCCAGGGATGTTAATGAGTTAAGAAAGGACTGAGGAATAGTACACTACTCCCAGCCCTGACAATATGGGATGGAAGCTTGGGAATGAAGAGAGCAAAGTAGGTGGTAAGGGAATGAAATGTGAAGTAATTATCTAAGTGTAGTTACAGGATGAGAGCTACGCTTGTGGTGTCTCATCTTCCGAATATTCTTTGTCATATGATGCTTTGAAACTACTGACATTTTTGTCCTAGTATCCTGGAGTTACACAACTGTTGTGGGTTGCATCCTGAGAAAGGTCAGTCTTGGAGGACATCAATAAGCCTAACATGCTTCCTGTCCCCAACAATGAAGAAACCACAGATAGCCAGATCAAAACTATCATTGCAATTGTATCATTATAATAAAATAAAGATTCAACTTACCCTTTAGAGAAGTAGGCCCCAGCACGCTCGGACTGTCCACACGACACATAATATTTGGCCCACCAGTCTATTTCTGTGTCCACTGTGCCAGGCTGCGGGAGATTGTGCAAGTCAGTGACTGATGATAAACCAGTTACTGGTCAATATTGTAAGGCATCAAGTCGTATAATTGTGAATGCAGCAAAGATGATTGGTGTTAACTTAACACCAATCGATGATTGGTTAATTAATAATACATAAAGGTAGCCAACTTGGGTATATAAATAGACATTGTGGGGTTAGGATAGGTTAGTTTGTAGTGATAAATGTGGAACTGGAAGGGAAGAAAGAGTGGGCAGCATGCTGGTATGCTGAGACCTGTTAATGTTTATACAGTACTGTATTCTGGCTACAGTGCTAGTAAATATGAGTGAAGAGATAGATTACAAATAAGAAAAGCATCTTAGATTTGACATTGACATGGAGGTTGGGTCTCTTGTAGGAGCCAATGAAAGATGGTGAGGTATTGTGGCAGGAGTTAATGGAATCTGAAATTTGTTATCGAGAGGATTTCTATAATGTGCTACAGCAGATGTGCCCAAGCTGCTTGTGTGTCTCCTGTGAAAATGAACATCTACACAGCACGCTGGGCTTCATATGGCTGGCAGTGCAGAAATCTCTGCAGCAATCACCTTTGTATCTTTCTCCATTTTTCCAACCTGTTTTCTCATTTCCTTTGTAAGGAGATTAAACAGGTTTTAGTGACTGTGAGTGTGACCTTTCAGCTGATTAGCTGTGTGTTTTGGTTGCTATTTACAATCCCAGTTTCAGCTTTCACATGGCCAGGTGTTCAGCCACTAAGACTTCTGGTCAGGGGTAAGGGTTCTGGGGCACAGGGTTTCCAGGTCCAGGTGGCTCCATCGTTAAGTTATTGGTGCTCGTCCCAGTCTAGCATGTCGAGGGGTCCTGGTAGGAAAGTCGGGTTCATTCTTGACTCACAACCAAGAATTCCGGGTTTGAATTCCAGGTGGCACATTTAATTTATTTATTTATTTATATACAGTATATACAAGAAATTACATTGGGTTTTAGAGAGTACATAGCACTGATGTTTTTACATTCTTGTAAAGCCACTAACTTGCATAGCGTTTCGGGCAGGTCCTTAATCTAATAGATAATTTTAAATAGATGATTTTAATATATATTAAATGATCTTCCTCAGCATACAACCCCACAACAGTTGACTAACTCCTGGGTACCTATTTAATTCTAGGTGAACATAGGGTGAAAGGGAACGTGCCCAACCATTTCTGTGTCCAGTCAGGGATTTGAATTTGGGATTCCCAATTGTGATTCAAGAATGAACCCCAAGGGGGCAGGAAATATGATGACCCCATCCTTGCAGTGGGTGTCTAATCTGTTCTGTTCCAAAGCAAGATACACCAGTCTTATTTTATTCTTGACTTTCAAATCTCAACGGGAATCCCTGCAAACACTCAACGTTGCTATTGTTTCCTTGTTACAACTTGTTACAAAGTAGTTACATCCTTTTATAAAGTTTTTATGACATATTATAAAGTTTTTACAACTTGTTAGAAGATGTTACAACTTTTTTGAACGTTTTAGCAACATTGTAGTCTCGTTGTTTGACGGTATATTCCTTGCCCAACATTCTGGATAACCATCGGGTCCCAGATTCGTCAGGTGGGATCTAGTGGCTCTTGGCTCCTTTCCCTAAATCTTTTGAATGCTTATTGGCATGCTCTCATCTATTCAGAATTCATGAATTAGTTGGTTTAGAGTGATGAACCTCTTTTAGTATTTCTAGGCTCTGTTGTTTGGGTTGAGCTTGGCACTTAGGACATTGTATAAATTAACTCTCATAGTACTTTGACATATTTTTCTCTTGGGATCAGCATTTTGGCCTACATCGGCGACTGGCTGGTTTAGGCTCTAAGATGATCTGCTTGTCTGCTAGTCAGGGTTCAGGTTCTATCTCATTTGGTTTCCTTCAAGCTTTTTGAAGTACAGTTTCATGGCATCCTGTGGAGTCTGGTTAGTTCTCTTCCTGTTAAGGACTGAATCCTGCTTATAGCCCAACTTGTGACATCTCGGAATTTAGTCCTCCAGGCAGTTCATATTTGAGTTGCATCAAACATGCATGTGGATGATCTCTCTTGTGGTGCACTGGTTACTGAATGAGTTTTTCCTCTGGTTTGCTTACCTTTTGCAAGGGGACCTGTTTGCCTCAACATAGAATCGGTAGTCTCTGATTTATTTGGCCACTCAGTAGCTCTCCATTCCTGCCCTCTGTTCTCCTCCTCCTCCTCCTCCTTCATGAAGTTTGGGTGTGTTTGTCCTGGAGCAACTCATGAATGAGCAGGATGGCTGACTCAGACCCTAGGTCACTATCTAGTGACAATCAAATGCATCTAGGCAGTGATTTCACTGCAGTAATGATTCCTTGCAATATTTCAAAACCATTATAAATTTTGCCAAGCAGTTGCTGGCTTCGACTTTCAGGCAGGATTATTCTCGGTTCTCTGGTGATCTCTGATTCCCAGGCCTCCGTTCACCTCTTTGAGAAGGTCAGATTCTGGGCCTGGTTCTCGAAATGTGCTCGTTGGCCACAAAGTCCTGGTGGGTTCCTCAGGACTTGGTTACATCCAGGTAGGATTGGGGAGCTACTGTGTTGCGTACTAGAAAGAGGCATGTTAATAATCCAGCAGTGAATGTAATAGGTAAATTAATTGTTAATGGTTATGATTTCATCAAAGTTATAAATACCACAATGGTTATTGTGGTTATTTATAGCCTCAGTGGGAAGTGGAGCCATAACTAGTGGCAGTATAATAGTTTATGGTACCATAATTTTTAGTAATACAGTATGATGATGGTTAGTACTTAAATACAGTTCAAGTGGTAGCATAATAGTTAGGGGGGACACTATATTAATTAGTACAACAATAATTTTGTAGTACAGTACAACTAATCATTATGGTACTGCTAATTTAAGGTACCATAATGGTTTGAAGTACCACAGCAATTAGTAGTATAGTTTGATGTGTCAGAATGGGTAGTGGTAACTCAATAATTAATGGCATTACAATGGTTGGTGATACCATGACAGCATTGGCTTAAATGCTGTCATAATACAATGATAATAATAAATGATACATAATGGTTGAAGGTACCACAATAGTTGTACCACAACACTTAGTTATTAATGTTCATATAGAGTAATACTTTGATTACTTCCATGGTGACCATCGCAACACGAAGAGAGAATTCATGAAAGAATATCATCTGCGGAAGAAATATTAAGAGAACCCCTAAATGAAGTATCGTGGTAAAATGCCCAAAGATGCTCCATGAACACAAGTGTGGCATGAAAATTTAAAAGTAATAATCTAGTATTAGTACAAAAATGTGTGTTGCTGAAAAGAAGACATGTGGCAACCAGGTAGGGGATGCTTGCAGAAAAAGAGCTCCATATAACAAATTCTCAGTTTTGGCAAAATGTAAGGAGACACTAAAGAATATATATACTAATTACAGTGGACTCCTGCTCGAGCAGTAATCAATGTACCAGTAAAACTAATATGATGGATGGAATATGCTCGAATAGCACCATCGTTATACTCAAATACAAATGGAAAATAATGCGAGCTGGAAAAAGTTAACTAAATAGTTAAAAACATAATTTTAACAAGCTCTTTTTGGTTAAAATTTGACCAAAATTTGCAAACTTCAGATCCGATAGATTTCCAGTTGGAGTGGAAATGATCCGGTATGAATCTCAGTTCGAATGGGATTACACTGTACAGTTTGAAGTATTCTACACTAAAGTACTGAATGTGGCCTCACTGAATGAGGTTGGTCAAATGAGATAAAAGAAAGCTGGTTAATATACCAAGAAGGATTTCCAGTAATTTTCCACATACACCAGAAGTAAAATGTAGATAGAACTATCAGTAGGAGCCATTTATGAAAACAAAATACTATAATGATTTCCAGTGGTTGGGGACAGGAAGCCTGTTATGCTTATCGAGGTCCCCCCCCCCACCAGGCCAACTACTGACCTGCCCCAGGATGCAACCCACAACCCTTGCTAAACTCCTGGGTACCTATTTACTGCTAGGTGAAAAGAGGCATCAGGTAAAAGGAAATGTGCTCAAATGTCTGTGTCTTGCCACAGGAATCAAACCCAAGACCTTTTGATTGTGAATTGACTATGCTAACCACTATGCTACAGATACCTTTAATGAAGAGTGCAATTTTTTTTTCCCATAAGAAAATCTCAGACATACCAGTTCCTGTGAGGATGTTCGATGCACGAACTGAAATTTGAGAGATGTACAAAACTAATGTATATACTGTTCCAATTACATGAGAAATAGCATAGTGAACACTATAGTTCTTAAATTTGTCAATATAGTATAAAGTACTGTATTGGTGAGGAAATAAAGTCTAAAATTGTCAAAGTAATAGATGAGTTGCATGTACTCATTACCCTAAGGGAAATTTAGAAAATCTCAGAGTCAAGCAAGAGTACCTCGTGGTTGGAAAATTCTTAACGTCATCCCAACCATTTTCAAGGGTAAAAATAAATAAATTGCAACAGAAAACTACTGCCAGTCATCTTATGATGAATTTGAGTTAATTTATTAACAGCAACTAAATATAATATACACAAGGGGGGGCAACAGTTTCAAGCTCAGTAAGCCACAATGTAGGATAGAAAACAGGAAATATTTTTTCACCCACAGATCAATAAACCCACAAAAGCCATAAGACAATTTTAGTTTAAAATTCAGCTGGAAAAAATCTTCAGGAATAATGGCGAAGAGGGGGGAGACTTTGACAAGCTGCTGGTTTCCAGTCTCCAATGAATCTACTAGGATGGTGTCCTAGAGGTAAATATATTTTAAATGTATCCTGCCACAGACCAGAGATTTACAACTAATATGCCGTACATAGATGTCTGTATAGCATATAATAATGTGTACTGTACCACAAAATTTTCTGTTTGGTCCTCAGAAAGTTCGAACACACTTAATAGTCCACCAAACATAACTGTGCTGTGTACGATGTAAGAATACTGTTCAACAGG